AAACCAGTGGTAGCAATGGTCGAATAAACACTGGGTCTGATTTTGTCTGTTTCGCTCTATGTATGTATCGATCACTATTTCTATATTGACTGGTACCCTTACTTTATTATACTATATATAATATATATATAGTGTATTATTAACAACCCACCAAACCGTACTAAAAACATTAGAGCCACCTGACTGCTCCATGAGCAATATAAATAGGATAACAACGGCTAATCACAATTGTCTGATGATCGCCATTAAGCTTGAAACCGGGAGTAACCAAAATTTATAATAATAATATGTCGTTCTTATATAGCGCTTCATGCCTTTACAAGGCCTCTAAGCGCTTCACATTACTACCCCGGTCATTGGATCAAACACATATGGAACACATTGAACACCAAATTAAATTAGTANNNTGAAATTATATTATCATTCCATAATATTGCAGCTAGTAATCAGCGCAGGTTGTGTTGGAACCTACCAGGTACCCACTTGTACTCCTGGGTGGAGAGAGGCAACCGTAGATAAAGTGCCTTGCCCAAGGTCTTATTTATTTTATGTTTGTATATTGTATTTATTATTCCAGGTGTATGACAACGATGGATTCTACCGTAAGAATTATTCCTACAAGTTCTAAAGGTATTTTTTTTAATTTCATACACATTACCAACAGTTATGAAACAATATATATTATGATGATTGATTTGGTGAACCAAATTAATTATAGCAGATAAAGGATAACGGTAAATTGCATGCAAAAACACAGGAATGCGTGTCGTCACCAACACCACAAAGAAGCTTAAACTTAAAAAAGGATATTTTTTCTATTTTTTCCCTAGATATTTTAATTATGTACATTGAACTCTACCTTTTCACATAAATGTTAAGAGTACAACTACATTATTTAATTAATTATACGAATTAGCAATAGCGCACAAACAGACAAACTTTCAGAGGATTATCAGAAGACGCTCGTGCGGCGTTGCAATCGTTGTGATCGGCTAGATAAGGGCTTCATGGGCGCAGCTAGAGTAGGGGTCAATGGAGTCCTGACCCCCTCAATATTTGAAAAATTATCCCGATTATAGCAGTAAATGATCGGTAATATGAAAATATGTAGTATATGAAATTTAAGCCACCCTCCCTTTATTATGATTGACAGAGTAACTGATTGGCCCTTGCTATAAATCTGGAATGTTGTGTGTACAGCAATAATTAAAGTCGAAATAAAAAAAAACATTTTGTTACAATCATGGTAACTCTTTGGTTACCCGTATCGAGGTAGCAAATAATTATATTTTATTACAGTTTATTATTGTATAATAATGGAAGAGTGTAAATTAACTCTTCATTTGTATACAGTTTAACCTCCCTTTGCGACGACCACCTCTCGTAAGCGATCACCTCCCTTAACGTTCACTCTCATATGATCCCGTGTGTCTAATCAGTGCTTTTATACTTCTCGTAAGCCACCACTTTTGGTATATCATTTACCTTTCGTAAGCGACCACCTTAATAGTTTGTAATATCTTTTGACAACAGATACGAGCCGATTATTCAAAATTTGTTCCGGCGATGGTGCACCATTTAGCTGCGTCAAATTAACATTATACGCGTGAACACTTAATATAAATAAAATAATAGAAAAGCGATAATAAGATAAACAGGCCCACGCTTTTTCATATCCAAGAGACGCTTGCAATAGGTAATAGATCAACATGCCTGCTTTTAAGACCCATTTAAAGATTCATCGCGTTCAGGCTGTTTTTTTTTTGTTTTGTTTTTTTTGGGGGGTTTTTTTTGCTGGAGGTTTTGTAGAAATTGATGTGGTGAAACCTCTAAATTCTATCTTTTATACGTAAAATAACGTCGGGCCCCTGACCCTAAGTCTAATTGTTCGCTACGCTCGCAAAACTTGACCCCACTCCCCTCGAATTTCATCCTGGCTGCGCCCCTGGGCCTTGCTTGCAGTATAGGCCTAACTGAGAATAGGCCTATAAACATGCATCAAGTGTGGAATTACTATACCCTTGACTACAGTAGTAAAACAGAGGCTAAAATACAGTTTGTGTCTGACAACGTAGCGCGTAGAATGAGATTTTCGTTTTCACGAAAACACAAGCTACGCTGTAGGTGTAAACAACCTATGGGTTTATTTTTTTCGTTTTTACCAACAGACACTAACTTTTCAGGCTAATTAACATGTTAATTTAAGTTAAGAAAATTTGAATGAATTAAACATTTAAATTATTTAATGCTTAATCTTTAAACATAGGCCTATGTTAATAAAATATTTAAAATGTTGATATCTTGATAGAAAAATTTACGGTTTTGTGAAGTAGTCCATCCATTTCAAACGCGTTTTACTTAATCGTTGTTTTAATCAAAATTGAAGTCTGTATCTGGATGGGTGGAGTCTGAGAGTCTGGAAAGGGCCACAATGATCTAGCAGAAAAATGTAATGTAAAACATACAGTCAGCTAAGTGACGAAAAAGAAAAAGGAATCCTCGGAAAATAGACTGGCTTGCTGGTAAATCAGAATGAACCTCCCATCTCGATAAAATTCCCGCCCTCCCCCGTGAGAATACTTATTCAATTTATAAGTGTTACAAATTATTAGTATCTGTGAGTTAAGGGAACTGGAATTTTGTGTAATATCGTATAAGTCGATGAGGGTCCTCGTGATCAAGAAAATAATGCAATAGAGAGAAACAAGCTGTTCCGACCACCACTACCGATAATAGTATATACAAAATATGGAAAATAGGGAGTGTTCTTTTGTGTTGAAGATTTGATGGTGGTCGTTGTCGTGATATTATTTTATATAATCCTTAATTTTTTTTAATCTTTCTACTTTCAGCTGATGGAGAGAACAATAGAAACGTAACGACTATGACAACCAATGTATCGATTTTGAATTTATAGTGTTCGCACAGCTGTAAAGGGGCTACTGTAGAAATATTTTGGGGTACATTTTATACATACAGATAGCGGGTCATCTTATGCGACTATTATTGGTGTATGGTTAAAATGTATTTGTGACATATCTTGGGATTTATCTCATTAAATATTAATTAAATGTGGGCCATTTTTATACATGATGGATACCCATCTATATTTTTGTATTGTATGTCTTGTATAGTAATTGGGCAGATTTGAATACGGTAATGTCTTACTTTGATTACATAAATACTATTACAGAACTTTGATTGCATTATTACTATAACTTTTCTTTGATTTTATTATAGTCTCTTTACATTAACTTGTACTGATGATAAAGGATGTGGCTATGAATAGTTTTAGTCCAGTATCAATACAAATCTGAAAGGTGATCAGCCGGGTTCGGGAGCCTTTTCGAGATATCAAGTGTCAAAGGTCAAAATTGACCAATTATTACAAATTTTTGTATCAACTCTGAAGTTTTCTCACTTAATAAATTCAATATGATTTGATTAGCCAATATTGAGGTCAAATGTCAAACTTGACCAATTCTAACAATTTACTAAAATAAACAATATGGAAATTTAAAACTCAGTGTTTTATCACATTATTATGCTTTTAGATATTTATTTTAGGGATCTATTCACCAGTCTACTGTCTCAAAGTTTTATCTGTATCTCAAAGTTTTATATTTTTATATATGATATAATTTGTGTACTTTGTTATTGTATTTTATAGTTGAGGGTGCCAATGATCAGTTGTGCTGGACGAGCCACCCTCTGGAGATATAGTTTAATTTTGTTTTAAATAATAATAATAAAAATAAAACCAGCCTTTTTAAGAAACTGACCTCAAAAATGCAAAAATTATTATATTTGTTATAAAGTATCTTTAAAGTTGACTATATTTATCAAAATATTAAAGCTTTCGTATGCTCCTGTATTTTTCATGTTCCCATGTTTCATTGCAAAAATGTTGACCATGATTTTTTCCACCTTATAAAAAAATATTCTAAAGAAATATAAACAGGTTGTACGTAACGAGAGAAGACTTTTGGAGAATCGATCAAACTGTGTGCAGTACTATGCTAGGAGAATTGTCTGTATAAAGATGATGTCCTTGTAGAATATCACGTAAAGGTAGTGGCGTAACAAAAATCATAAATGCTCCTAAGGTTTTTTCGGGCCTTATACTACTCGTTTCTGAAGAAACAAATAAGTAAAAAAGTATGAGTTCCCATTAAAGTTTCTGAGAGTTTTTTTTTTTTCGCAAAGCTTGGTAACAACACTTCTGACAACCAAAAAGTAATTTAAATGCATGAAGCCAGAGTTCATATTTTTCTGACTGTAATATCAATTGATGAAATTTTTTGGATTGTTTTTTGAATTTTTATTTTAAAAATGTTATAATTGGTCAATTAATTTATTAGTTGAACTCTCACCCCAATTTCGGCTGATCAAAGTATATTGATTTGTTTTTTAATTCAATTGTGATTTGCATTTAAAAGCACAACAGATTGATATTATAATGAGTATAGTTTTGGGCACTTGCTGCGTAGTACGACAATCGTACGACAGTTGGTCGACGAATCCAACTCCGCTCCCTGTAAGGCTTTGTTTCCATACAATCGCTACACGCTATCGCCGACAGCTTTCAGTGATGCTAATTGGTCAGTCGATTCGGGAAGCCTTCCCGATTGCGTCCGGAACTGCTACGCAGAACAACGATTGATAGAAAAGTTCTTACCAACTGTGAAATGACTACTCAGCAAGATAATATAAATAATTTAGCCCTTATATAAGTTATAGGTGTCCTGTGAACATAATATTAAATAATGCTAAATATTATACTATAATAATCTATTTTGTTGATGGTGATTTATTAAAAATGAATATTCAACTTTATGTTTTCGTTCTTTTATTCAGAATTCAGCTCAACTTATTAAGAATCAATAGGCAGTTATTAAATATATTATACATATTGTTGCAATCATAAATAGGCCTATATACACCGTTTTTCGTTGCTTTTGCATTATATATATATATTTTCAACGAATACCATGTATAGACTTCAGAAACACTTTATTGGAGAAAACCAATAATTCGACCTATCCTCAGGTCTTTATCAAGTAACCATAGTATCAACAACATGAAATTTGCCATTATCACCGGTAATTTCAAGTCTCATTCAGATAGAAAAATTAATGAACTCAAATATATTCTCAAATACAAAACTCACCTCTTTGGCCTCAACAGAAATCTCGGCATCATTAGTGATTACACATTCAGCCACCACTAACATCATTGTATCACCGTTTATTATATTATTACATTATTTTATATATAAATCATCAAAGAAAGGTAAATACAGTGTTCGAATAAAGGACATAATAATACATCGTGTAGCATAGCTCTCAACGAACGTAGTCCTGTAAATAAACGAATAAAGAAATTGTGTAATAAAATGCCTCTGGCGGAACTCGAACCTGCGACCTCTCGCTGTCAAGGCGAACGTCATAACCATTAGATCATGGAGGCTTCATGGTTGAACACATTCGAATACCACCAGATACACTCCATTACACAATGTCGAATGTCGATGTCGAGTGCAAATGGAACAAAGCCGGCACAACATGTAAAGTCAGTAGCAGAACTGTTTCCTACACCTAGAAATGGTTTGTAACCCAATTTCACAAGTGCCAACTACAGAGGACCATGAGTGGTTGAAAAACGAACTGACTACCTATGGAAAATTTACAGGACTAAACCGGCTTTTAACAACACCAGGCTCAAGTAAACGTTCTTTACACATACACACCATATTAGTTTATCCAATGGTTTTATTCAGGCTGATGCTAAATTAGATTATCTGTTAAAGAAATTACGATCAAAAGAAGAAAATAGAACAGACTACTGTTAGGTAGCTGGAAAATCCAAACTGGCTGATATTAAAAATGGGCAGATTAACGGCAAGTAACTTTGGGGGTGTGATGAATGCAAAGAGAGTTGCATTGTCGCTTACGCAACGATTGCTGAGCCAGAGAGACTTTTCAGGGGTAGGCCTACTTGCTATAAATTGGGGGATTTGCAATGAGTAAGAGGGGCTAAAAGCTTTCTCCTTGAAGACTGGGTTAAATGTTAATTCTTCTGGATTTTGGGTTACTCCATCAGGTATCCTGGTGCCTCATCTGGTGCGCTTGTAAATTCCAGTAATTATTTCGGAGAATCGACAATTTAAAAGGCATTATCTAATAAGAATTTTTTTCCTTGAGAAACAACCTGATATGTACAATTATACTAAAAACACAGCACCAGAACTACCACCGGGTTCAAGGGCAGCTGTATTTAACAGATAGGCAATAGTGTTGTTTTGTTTGGACAACACAGGACTGTCATGTTTTAAAGATTGGTAGCTGTTATGGGCACAGAACATGACTGTAATTAGAAACATTCTATTAAAAAATAGGTGTTCCGAATATACCGTAGGTCAATTTTGAATCCAAATTACGAAACGTGATAGTTGACTAACTCGACTGTCAAAGTTTTTTTTTTTATGAGTTACACTACTAAATTGTATAAAAACATACACTATCTAAAATTATTTTTCAGAAAATCAATTTGAATAACACCATGATGGTTTCTTTGCTGTTTTATATTTACATTAATGTACGTTAATAAATATATATTTCTGTATACATAAAAATACTATGCTACATTTTTTTTTTATTTATTAAGGTTTAAAACACAAAACAAAACAACAGAACGTTTGTTTACAATCAACAAATAAAGACAACATAGGAAAACAGGTCAGGTGGAAAAATACATATCAAAATATCAAAACATTCAAATAATTACATTAGGAAAGTTAAAAATTAATATCATATTACAAAATATATATATTAATATATACACCATATTATTATAATTAAATTTCAAAAACGTCAATTAATTCAAAATTAACTTAATTAGTAATTCAAAAATTACAATCATGTGTTTTAATTTATTTTAATTGATATCATTTTAAGGGGTTTTTTATTCAACATTTTTCGATATCGGATTTATGGATATCAATAAATGATTTATGAATATCAAAAATGTTGAAAACCCCATTAACAACTGAGGTAAGTGAGGTGTCAAGGGGTGCTTTATTATGGATATTTATATTTTCGATATCCCATAAACGATTCATAGATGTTTGTAAATGTTAAATAAAAAACTCATTGACGCCTTGTTTAGCATGTTAGGGGGTATTTATTCAACATTTATGGATATCTAAAAAATCTGACATCCAAAAATGTTGAATAAAAACCTCATTAACACCTTAAGTTGTCAATGGGGTTTTTATTCAATATTTCTGGATATCCATAATTTGAATAAAAACCCTATTGACACTTAGGCTTTTTAGTCCATTGACGTCATTACACAATCAAAAGGAAAACTCAACGAACACCTAAAGTATGCTGTTCAGTGTGAACAGGTTTTCTGTTTCAACTCACAATGAAGAAGGAGAGCAAAAATGTTTCATGTTCGACTATCTGTACCGTATATGATAACTGTAATAATTGCGTATTTCGTCATATGAAATCGTTCTTGCGTTCGTGCGTCCAGTAAGTGGGCGTGGCTAAGGAGCTTTGACGCATAAGACAAGTGAGCTCCATGTTCTCATTAATTACGTATTCCTCTATTCTTCTCTCATTGATCTTTAACTTAGTTGAAGGCTGATATTTATCGGTTAACATAATATGCTTAAATTTGAAAAAATACTCACTAACAAATTACCATTAATTACGGCCCGCAATCTAACACAAATACAAAACTATTAAATATGGTAGAGTTTATCTACATTCACATTAAAGGCCGCCTTCGGCTGCCTTTCACGAGATATCCATATGCTTGTATAATCAGTCTATGTTTGTAAAGCCCAGTTTGCCTAACACGTACGGTATTACCATTATTCATGTTCTTCTTATTCATATTCTGTATTGTCAAAGCATGACATACAAAAAAAATCATACAATTAACTGAGAGAATTGACAAGAACGCAGAAGATAGATATGCCTAGATGGTTTATTCAAATAAAAATTCCAAATAAAATGCATCATGGCAGCAATGCTGAGTTGTGATGGATTTTTTTATGTATAACATGCAAATGTACAACATAGTAAAAATATGAAGTTACATTTTAGAAAAATAAATAAAAGAATTTAAAGGCATCAAAATTATTACTTCATCAAGATTACAGTATATAAAAATATTAAATATACTGTATAGGCCTAATATGCAATATATATCTTTGAATTTTCCAGACTCACCAGAGTGGCCATGCAGCAACAAAAAGGAGATATATTTACACATCAGTTTCATTTTCCAGTAATCATTCTAACCAAACACGGAATTGTGCTATTTTTTAATCTGTTGGTCCTGTACTTAAGTTTCATCCCTCTCCTCAAATTACAAATTCAAAATTCAAATTCAAATTTATTTTCACTTGCCATAGCTACTAATGTACAATAGGCTTACAAGTGGCGATTCCATAAACAAAGCAATGCTTGTTAAAATAATGCAACACAGTATTATTAACAAAAGTTGCAAGACCGGTTATCAAATTAGCGAGAATTAGAATTATTTTTGACAGTTGTTTTAGCCAAGAACACTGGGATTGCTGCAGATTCAACAAGAAGCATAAAATTTGTATAAGATGTTCATTTACTTAATGGCAAGTAAATTAACAGAAAGTTCTATAGGATGGGAGCCTTGCCAATCCGGTCTTTTGTCGGTGTTAGCTTGCGGGGTGAAGCGCTTGTTTTCTATCAGATTTAGTCGTAAGAAGAATCCTTCTGAGGAACTGTTTAAACCCAGCACTCTGAAATTGGTAGGAAAGCAACTAATTAACAAGCTATTTAACTCTACTCCTTTCATATATTTTTTTATTATAATTTTTTTATTTTTTTTTTTTATTTTTTTTTTTTAACGAAAACGAGCGAACAATTTGTTGATTGATTGGTTGGTTAATTTATGCTTTTTGCAGAGTTTAATATTTTTTTTTTTTATCTTATTGTACTACAGAATTTTATCATTCGGGACCTGTAGAGGGTGATGTAATATAAAAATGCAGTATAGATTACTACAGTGTTACGTCACTGACACAAAATGATTTCAAACGACGCCATTTTCTCCACTGACAAGCCATGATCCCAATTTCTAACGTAATTATTAAGAAGTTGTATCTTAATTTTTCTTTGTAAATGTTAATTGATGATTAATTGTGTGTTCGATAACTAATATAATGCGAGCTTTTTGTGTTTTTAGTACATTTTGATGGTAAATTATTAGGTTTTAAAATGCCTATTCCAGAAAGCCTATTTAAAACCACTATAGATTATCATAAGTCGTTCAGCCGTAATGAACGGTAACCAACGTCCAGAGGGCGCCACCTGGTGTTGTGACGACTGTGGTACTTAAAAAGTTTACTGTCAAATTGGCATCTTGGCCTTTAACGGAGCTGGCTGTCTTGGAGTCGAATTATTTTATTCTAAGATCATAATCCATATATTCTAGTCCCAGCTTCAACGCTAAGATTGGCTCAATCGCCTTTACAATTTAAGTAGCCATGCAGGAAATCCATATTCAATAGATATATTCCAAGCTCGGTATAATGAAAATGTTACTGGTGACGAAGAACCACCCGAAATGCATGATACCTTAATTAACCCTCACGATTTTTTCATTATTTAAAATGTAATTTTTCTTTTACAAAGAAGTTGATAACTAATAACTATAAACTATAGTTAAAGACAGCTAATGTGTCTTCGAACATAACCTTGTATATTATTATGGAATTACCTATTGGGCTTCACAGACTTAGAATGATTATTTAAGTCTTAGGGTACTGACGGCCTCGCCGAAGTGTATATAAATATTCGATTCGATTGTTACGATTGCTTGCAGAATTTGATGGTGAATTTCACTAAGGTATAATTATTCGAATTGAAGCCTATTATTGTAACTGAGAAATATCAGCCTTCAGCCTAAAGATGAAAGAAAATAAAATTAGCTAATGCCCAATTAATGAAATGGAGATCACTGGTTAGCAAATATCATCCCATGAATACTAAAAATCTCACAAGACGCTGTCATACAACATTGGTCTTGAAGGAACGTGTGTGGCGAAATCTCTCTTACAATATCTGTTGACTGTGTCCGTTACTGGTACAAATCGTAAATATTCGATACAAAATGTTTGACCAATTCGTTGCGGCATTCATCGTATGCAACCTTTCTGTCGCTACAGGTAATACATTTATAATTTGTTTTCGCAAAACTAGCCAAACACAAAATTGGAAAGAGATAAAAACGCTTTGATTTTTAATAGACCTATATTTATTTCATCTGTAAGTAAAAATGAGTGACGTTACAATAGTTAGTTTAGAAATCTAAAACTAAAATATATCGTTATAATGTAAACGGGGCTTTAGGCCTAATAATTAATTTACAACATCGGTTCATAGTTATTTCTGTCCGTAACTTGAAATCTGCATTTGTGGGATTGGTCAGCTGACTCAATGTCATCTTGAATATACTATCCTAAAATTTGCAAACACATTTTGTCAAACTTATCTTTGGATGCCGTACTAATGAGAAACATTCATCAACTTTTCTATCTCTTGGTCGTTACCATGGTCCTTTCAAACACAAACTCTGCTTAATATAACTATGGTAATTGCAAAGTTTAATATAATCATTACCATTTTCTTGCATGATATTACATGTTGACTATTGTTTCTGTGTAAAATGTATTTGCAAATATATGTACTGTTTATAACTGTTTCTATATGAAGATTTTATCTGTATCAACGTAATGTTTAGTGGCCATAATTTATGTCATTATTCCAATTAAATATTTTGTATACTGTACTATGCCGTAGCCAGCTATTGGGACAGTCCCACACAATTGTTCTAATGGGTCCACAAAGAGTGGGTGCACATTTTTTTTAATGGCTCCAAAATCTGTAGTTTTATGCATAAAATGGGTCCACGTTTAGAAAAATAGATCCAGATTTCTCATATTTAACTTAAAATGGATACCACGATCACTGACTCGGTTCTTGATTTCCATCGACCGTTTACAGTGAAGTTTCTATATGAGTTCTTATCAGCTTCAAAACATTAACACAGCATAGTAAATTTAAACACCAACAAACACCCCAGCTACTGATCAAAGAGTTTCTGCTTGATTTTCAAGTGTATACTTCAACACTGTTTTTACGAACTATTACAACGGTCTTAATATGGAGCGCCAAAAATCGCAATCGACTTTTTCGATTTAGCCTTAGAATAAATATCATGAGAAATTTGTTGGCGCTTCATTTTGAATATAATAGTGATGTGATGATGATGATGAATTTCATTTCCAGCCATTTAGGGGTACTATTTCCTCAAATTTCGAACCTCAGCTCCAGCCAAGGTAGGGCTGGGGTGGGTGTGTCTTACGAAATGCCCCCACCTTTTAAAACAGATATGCGCCCTTGGGGTTTCCCCTTTCGTACTCTATGTATGTATGTATGTGGATGTGTGTGTGTGTTTCTTCCTTTATTGCTCTTCTTATTGCTTTTTTATATTCTTTTTCTCATTCTGTCTTTCTGGTGCTTTTGCTTATTAAATGTAAAAATTATTCTGTCACCATTGTAATAAATAATTTAATACATATTTCCTCTCTAAATTCAAAATAATTTGTGTAATAATAAATAACTATAAATAAGCCTATATGATAATAATTTTTATTTGTTAAATATTAATGAAACCTGGAAAAAATTTAATCAAACTGTACAGGCCTATGATCATTATCGTCATCGTTTATCATAATATGCCATACGCAGAGGTCGTATCATTTAGGTATAATTTTCATCCCCATATTCATCCTCCTCCTCACAATCACCACTACGATCACCATCCTCCTCCTTCTCTTCTTCCTCTTCCTCCTTCTCTACATCCTCCACCGTCTCGCCCATACTGCGTGTGTTATCAACATCCTCGTCTTCTAGAATCTTTAATAGGGTGGATCGAGAGAGATGTACTTTTTGAACTCATTTTTTAAAATCAAAATATTCATCAAATAGAATAAACCTCTGTTTTAATAATATTCTTGTCTTTCTCTCTCTCTCTCTCTCTCTCTCAGCTATCTGTATTATAGCATGCGATACTATTGGGACTTGCAGCGTAATAGAGGGATCGACATGCAATTTTGAAACCAGCTATCTAAACACTTTGAGTGAAACTAGAGAGTTTATTAAAATTCAACTATAACTGATTAATAGCAATTAGATTGGCTGAGCAATAAGGCAGGGGCACAGCAACCTCGCACAGTGTTCGGTTGCTTCTAGGTTAAATAATATTATAGAGGTCAAGTGTGGTGCGTGTGCCAGGGGCGGCGCTAGCGAGAGATACAAGAATGGGGAGGGGAAAAGCCCCCCGTCAGGGACTTTTGAACCCATCTCCCCCCCCCCACCCCCGCACCTTTTGACCATCCTGTCGGAGAAATTCCAGCATAGTCGTCGGGGAAAAATCAAATCTCGAGCTCCGACAGTACAATTTAAGCATGTCTTACTCTAAGCTGTCAAAATTTTAGGGATTAATAACTGTTTAGTGCGAGAGTGCCACCGTATGTGTGCCGTGTGGGTTGCAGTGGTGCGCCAGTTCTTCCCCAACAGCGGACTAGTAGCTCCGACAAGGGGTTAGCACCCCCGACAGGTGGAGTACCCCGGATATCCTTTTAAAATTTAAAAAAAAAATCCCATATAGCACAAAATTAAAGAATCCCCAACAAATTAATCCCCAACCTGAGGGAGGGGCTAAGCATACCTGACGAACCCCTTGTCGGGGAGCTTGGACCCCTCGTCGAGGAATTCCTAGCGCCGACACTGCCATGTGCATTTTTTAACACCCATTGCATTTTTGTTCAATTCATCCCTTGTTATAGAAAGATGTGAGCATGAAGCTATTATAATCGTCTTTAACGTTGCTAAGTAGAGGCATAGACCAAGCCCATACGTATATTTAAGGGCTATGATGCTGCGAGTAAAATGTTATTCCCTTCCTTCTAACTCCCTTAATAATATCCAAGCCCACCCAGACAGTTGTTTGTAGATCGATATATAAATTTCTCTTAGAGACTGACAAAAATTACTAGAATGCATTTGTGTATTTATTTTCAACATTGTGCTGATTTGTAAAATGTTTTATTTCTTTATTACCAAACTACATACATCTTATAATGAACTTCTGCTTTAGAAATGTTTTTTGGTTTTCCCTCCCAGCTAACTGTATTCCAGCATGTGTTAATGGTGGAATTTGCAGTGTAGTGAAGGGTGTAGCCATGTGCGATTGTACTGGAACCGGCTATACAGGTACTTCCTGTGAAACTGGTACGTGCGATATAATTTAACTTTGACAGATGATTATCCACCTAATCTAAACGATATATATATATATATATATATATATATATATATATATATATATATATATATAATAAATATAATATATATAATAAATATAATATAT